TGTGTGTGTGTGTGTGTGTGTGTGTTTAGAGTATTCAGAGTGGGTGGGGAACAGGTCTTTAACCCATAGACTCTGTGGCAACTCTGAGCATTTGGCTCCAAAATTGAGCTAATTTGTAGGATACCAAGCAGTGGCAGTGAAAACAGGAAATTACTTGGTGTGAAAAAAAAAAATAAGCCACACATCCTTTGTCAGAAGTGGAGAGAGCAGAGGAAACCGGAGTTTTCTTCACTTTTCCAGCTGACCTTTCACATCCCTTTAGATACCCAAAGCACACTCTTCCCTTCTAATGAATCAAGCCTCCTCAGCGAGCTCCCTGCACACACAGCAGCCGGGTCAAAACCAGCAGGGCTCACATCCTCTCGGGGGACAGTCCATGGGGTCCAAGGCCCAGCTTAACTCTGGCGGTGTGGACCTGAATCAAAAACCCTAGAAAGCAGGGATGTGGGTGAAGATCCCATAAATCTGTGTATTTTTACTCACTACTCCCAAAGGCTAAATTCTGGTGTAATTGGATGGGATAGGGAGTAGCCATGTTTTCCAGGTTCTTATCTGTGCAAATCAATGAATTGGTCAGGACAACTGATAGATGTGAAAGATTGATTACCTTTTCTTTTAGGGCAGAAATAAGAAGAAAAGGATAAAAAGCACAAAAGAGACACTCAAGAAGAAAGGGGTACTTTGAAGGAAAAAGAGAAGATACAGCCTGCAGGCAGAAAGGACCACTGCACGAACAAGAGGGCAGTGGCCCCAAAGTCACTTGCTTCCGTTCTTTTGTGTCTTCTTGGACAGCTAGGGCTCCCTTCACATTTAGTCCTGCTCATTCCAACATTCAGAACGTTCCTCTTGATGGTGTCTGAGGATCTTACATGAGCGGGCATGTAACTTAGAGGCAGCCCCTGCAGAAACTCAGAGTCTGCCTCACACTCTGTGTCACCCAAAAGCTGGGTGGACCCTTGTGCCCTGTTTCCCAAGGACTCAGTCCTGTGGGATCTTGGCCCAGATTAACGGCGTCTTTGGTCTGAACAAATACAACTGCCTGGCTGGTACTTGAGGGCTTAGGCAAAATCTTGGTTCTGTACTCCACTGGGGCAGTGAGCTATTCAGATTGTAATTAATCAGGGCCAGGGATTTAGCTCAGTGGTTCCAGTGCCTGCCCCAGACTGTAATTAATTAGTTCTGTGTACATCATCAGCAGTTATAAGTTCGGGGCCAGCATTACTCAGTTTCTGTCTTCAGACACTGAATCCGAGCCAGGTCTTTGCTGGTTGCCTAACAGCGCCACAGAAGGCCTCAGTGTACGTCAGGGCACCATCAAGCTTTTGTTTTATTAAATTTTCATGTCTTAAAGGCAAGAATTGGTTGTTTTTTTGTTTGTGGTTCCGGGGATCGAACTCAGGACCTTGTGCTTGCAAGACAGGCACAGTGCCACTGAGCTAAATCCCTGGCCAAAAAAAAAAAAGTGATTGTTCTTTCCAGCTCTCTATCACTCTTTCTCATACTAGGGCCTTTGCCCTGAGCTGTATCCCTAGCCCATTTTTATTTTTCTTTTGAGACAGGGTCTCATTAAATCATTAAGTTGCTAAAGCTAGACTCAAACTTGCACTCTCCTGCCTCAGCCTCCCAGAATGCTGGGATTACAGACCTGTGCAAGCATCTTTCATGAGGTCCTACCACTCATTTCTTCCATAGAGAGGCAATTTGGAGCTGCATCGGAAACCCACGCTCTCACTGTCAGCTCTGCTTGTTTTGGAGTTTTACCAAGAAGAGGCTGGCCGGTTGGCTGACTTGTAGGCTGAACTTGTCAGGCACACCCCTGACCTCTCTTCCGGCCAAGCATCCCTGATAAGTGGGCTGGCCTTGTGCCTGGAGACTCACGGACACACTTGGATGCTTCCTACAGAAATCAGTTAAGCAATCTCCTCCCAAGGCTCAGGACCCCATTCTGGATGTGAGCTGCTGGGCAGAGCCTGGCTTCCCAGTGCCACAGCGATGGCCAACAGGACCAACACATCTGCCCCGTACTACAGCTATGAATATTACCTGGACTACCTGGACCCCATTCCCGTGGATGAAAAGAAGCTGAAAGCCAACAAATGTAAGTCAGGCCTGGGGAAGCCAGCCAGGCAGAGGCTGGGGGGTTGGCCCAAGTGACTGTGGACTCCCAGCTTTTCCCTTATTCACTTACAATGCTAGATGTTACGGGTAAGTGATGGTGTGACCAGTGTACATGTGAATTTAAATGCATGGGGCTCGGGGTCAGATAGGAGTCTGTCATCTCTGTAATAAGTTTGTAAATTCGCCTGCCACGGAACTAAGCAGAATCTTCTTTTAAGACAGATTTCTTGATGAAGCTTCATTTACTTGGGGCCCCAATATTCCCCGTGAGTTTCTTGAAATTGCTGGGTTTGCTTTTTAATTTGGGACAGGTGTTCTCTACCTGTAAGACATACAAACATAACTTTTGCTAAAATGCCAACTAACGTTTAATCTTCAGGGAGGATAAACACGAGCTAACATCTGCCCTCGAATTCCTTTTCTCTTGAGTAACTTGGTGCTCTGGCAACCTTCTCCGTCAGTCCAGCTATGCTCAGTTGAGATGACAAATCAGCTGAAGAAATAACCATGAAAAATACTGCAAAAGCCAGGAATAATGGTCTTGGCACAGAAACCTGCCCTCTGTCCCCCACCCTCTTCTCAGGTTCTTTGGGTATTTTCTCACTGCAATCCCATAATATGTCCCTCAAAGGGTAAAATAAGTCACTAGAAAGGACAGGATGCTTTTCACATGGAAGAAAGATAATTTGTTACATACGACCTCTAAACTGAAATACATTTGAATGCTGCTATTTAAAATATTAAGAAACCTTGGGGACAGTCTTCTAAAATACAAAGGGTGGTCAAAATATACAGTGAACCTTGAAACTTTTAAAATACAGAGAAAGGCCTGCTTTAATCCCCTCAAAGTACTCCCCCTTCTTTGAACACACTCGTCCTACATTGTTGCCACTTTCTGAAGCAGCTTTGGAAGCTGTCTATCGCATCTTCAGGAAGTGTGGTAAAAAAATGCAGTGAATGCTTCATCCAGTAGAAAAGAAGGCTTGTAAGGACATTAAAGTACATCCTCCTCCACTTTATTTACCAGTTCTGGTATCATGTGACTTTGACTCTTTTTCAAAGTCAAAATGACCAGGACAGGTAAATGTTTTGTTATCAGTTCAGGACATCTGAGGCAGCCATGCCAGTGCAACTAAAGACACTCAAGAAAGCAGACGTCCAGAGCTGCTTCAGAAAGTGGGAAGAGTTATGGATTAAGTGTGTTTGAAGCAAGAGGGAGCATTTTGAGAAAGATTACTGGGAATGTATCTTTTACTATAATATATATTTTTAAATTTCACTAAGATTTTGCCTTTTTTGCTGAGTGCAATCACATACACACATACACATCCTACTGTATTATAGTTTTTAAAAAAATTCTTTAACTCTCTTGTTTTTCAATCACTTAGTTTCTTGTTAGGTAGAGTTCCAGTTCCAAGTTCCATTCACAACTTCCAGAAGTCAAAAACTAGTGCCCATCTGTGTTTGTTGAGGACTTCTTATATCCCAAGCACCGTACTAAAGCTTTTGTAGGGACACGATGTTTAGTGTGTGTTTTCTGATAGAAGGCAGAAAATCATGAAATTGGTATGCAGATTTCTGTGCACACAACTCACTAAAGAAGACAGTAATCATAAGGAGATAGTGGCAGGATTGAAGTAAATGTCCACTTATTAATACTGTCAAAAATTCAGAACTTTAGGAGGCATGTTCATATGGAAATAAATGTAGGCTTGTGTTTGGAAATGTCTTTTGTGAGTTAACACAAATGAGGTAAAACTCTGGGTCAACTTTAGACACTGCTATCTTCTTGGGTGCCAGATTTTCCGTTTCTTTATCACTGGGGTTCCAAAGCTTCTCACCACTGTTTGGTTGGGGACTTCTTAACCATCTTAGAAGCCCAAGCTCAACCTTCTGCCCCACCCCCACAAATGTTCTTCCACTTCAGGGAAAAGAGGTTGATGTTCTCTAAGTTATGTGTTAGGTTTAAAAGATATTCTTGCCTTACGAGTTTACAACCTGTTGTAATAAAATCCTCCCCAAGCTCCCAAACCTAATAAAGACTATCTTGGTGAAGAAATTGAGGCCAGGGAGAGGTCAGTCCCTGAGCCCTCCAGAGATGGGGGTACTGGGTGGACACCAAAGGGAGAGACCAGTCCTTGGGTCCCCCTTAGGGAGATTAAACAGTTATTGATATTTTAGTAGAATTCATTCAAATCATGTATTTCAGGGGACTGATGTAATAACTATATCTCAAATCTGCACACAAACAGTAGAAAATGTGTAATCTATATAGCATGTTACCTTGCTTATCGGAGACTCAAGCAAATTTGACTTTATCAAGAAATCTGTCTTTAGAAAAATATTTGGCTTCAGAGTGCTCTAGTTTCTCAGAAGTTTCATTCCCACACAGGCTTATACCATTTACCTCTGTGCTCCTATATATCAGGGCTTTGGCACCCACAGTGAGAGATGTCATTCCAGGAACATTCCTGTGTACATCGTACATGTACTGGTGTGTGCATCTTATCTGAATTTAATCTCTATTTGCAGGGGGCTTGACAGAAACACTCCTCAAAAGAAAGTTTAAATCCTGAATGGGTAGTTTTCAAGTTTTGGGGAGAACAGACCAGAGGACAGGGGTCACACAGGGACAGGACACGTGGACCCTGAGTCCCTGTCACTTACTAGCTATGTGGCCTTGGGCAGTTATGTTACTAAGGCTAGCCAGATTCAAGAGGAGAAAATTAGAACCCGCCTGTCAATGGAGGAAGTGTTAAAAATTTGAGACTATCTTTCATTTATCGTAAGCAAGAAAAACCTGGCAGATGGCACAATGTGACCCAAGAAAAATAAGACCAGATTGGTAGGTAGAGAAATCTGGGGCCAAGGAAAGACTGCAGCTTTGAACAGAGTGGTGGGTAAAGACTTTCCCAAGGTGACCTGAGTACAGGTGAGTCACAGCCTTCAGTATGGGTCACGTAGGAGCCTTCCAAGCAGCAGGAATAGTGAGGGCTCGTGGTGGGGTAGTCCCGGTGCATTTAAAGAACAGAGAAGTGACAGGGACTATTTCCTCATGTTTTTGGAAACTACTCTGAAAATATAACTATTGTCTTAAAATAGAAACCGCTTTATGATTTTAAAATGTAGTATTAATCAATAAGAAAAGAACAACAGATATATAGGCTAGGATAGGAAAAACAGTAATGGAAGAGGAAACTCCAGTGGCTAAAGAATGTGAGACAATACGCAGCTTCACAAGTATTTAGGGAAATGCATCGGGATGAGCAACGAGACCTCATTTCGTACCCAATGGGCTGGCAAAATTGAAAGATTGGTATTCAGAGCATTGGGAGGGAAGAAGAGAAGTCAGAACTGTTACACTGCTTGGGGATGAAAAACCCCCACCATTTCAGAGGCCAACTTGGCAAGGACTAGAAAAATTGAAGATGTCCATAAAGCCTAAGTCAGCTTCCTGCTTCCAGGCAGCCGCCTGGTAAAATACTGGAACCTGCTGACCTCACTGCAGCCCTATTTGTGGTGGCCAGAATTGGAAATGACCTCCTGTTCACCAAAAGAAGATAGGATAAATAAATGTTGGATCTGTTTAATGCAATCATATATAAATTTGTTACAATACACGAGCGACATCTGTATGTGCCAACATAAATAAATCGTTGAAACATAATGAAAGAGAAAACAGGCAAATTATA